TGTTTTTTGAGCAGTGCTTTTATTTCAAAGGCTGTGAAACCCTTACCACACTTCACAAGTAATATGCTGAGTGAGTAACGTAATTAAATTGATTCTTCATGGCTTATTTCAAACTTAATGTTGTCAAACAGAAATTTATCGAACGTGGAGAGTCTGTTCTCACAATCAACTGGTGCCGGTCAATGGGCTTAGCAAATGCAGATTTTAATTCTGAAGCATACAGTGCTTAACATACTCTAAATATCCATTGCTCTAGTTTTTAGATTTAACAGACAGATTGCAAAATGAATTCTTGTTCTACTTCAGAGAATGTTCTCTGATTCTGCTAGGCTTCAGCCATGCTTTGGAAAAGTGTAGCATGCAATATTTATTAAGTAATTTTTAATCATGTTCTAATTATGCTTCATCGTGTTTTCTCAATAGTATTTTATAATTATTAACAAAAACTCTCAACATTTTGTGTTGCCTTGAAATGTGTATGCAGCTTACCTGCTGTGGTATTGTGAAAATTTCAGTCATCTTCAGGCTTTTTCTTCTATCTGTTAGAGTTGATAAGTTCCTAAAGAATCTGTGTCAGTATGGTCTGTTTGATGAGGAAATAAACTCATATCTCAGCACCTTTTTAATCTGAAAGGATAAAGAGAAGGAATCAGGAGGTCAGGGTTATGTTCTGGGTAGAGAAGGACATCATACATAAATGACACAATGACACTTCAGTTTTTCCATTAATGGCCTAAGGATTACTTGCCTTCTTGGCAGCTGTTTAGAGTGTGTTTTTCAGGAAAGCAACCATAATGACTCCAGAATTTTACATGAGTGTAAATAGCTTATTTAGAGCTTATCTTCCTGTAGCTACAGCAAGTGCTGTTCTCCTGTTTCTTTCCCTACAGGCTTTACTAATACTAGATTTTGTCTGCTGTTTTATTGCTCAGAATCATGAGCTCCACCTGCAGCTCCTTGTAGCCATGCTCCAGAGCACTCTGTAACATTGTCACCTCTTCACTGTTCAGCCCTGCTCATTGGAGGGACACTTCTTTCTGCAAAGCCTTAAGGAACGCGGTGGTCGTTTGACTTCTCTATGAGAACTTGTCTTATTCATCCTCTTTTCCCCATCCATTCCATACTTGTATAGGTTTTGCATCCTCAGGAGGACTTTGCTTCTTAGCTTTTGTTAGCTTAGGTTGGCTTTTTGTTTGTTTATTTTTGAGCCTTTTATATGAAATATATTGTTAAAAACTATGTAAAAAATCTAAGGATTTGTATTGGTTGGATCACTGAATGGAGATTGGCAGGTTTTTTTTTTTGGAAAACTAAAGAGATTTGAAGAATTACTTCTCTCTGCAAAGTTTATAGTGACTCTTGAGTCATGTTGCTTTGTTTGGTTTGATCTTTAACTAATGGGCTTCTCTTTAAAGGTTGCTGATAGTATTTTTCCTTTGTCTTCAAAGATTACTTAAAATTTCAGCCTGCCCCTCTATATCCCTAGTTATGATTTTTTTAATGTGCTTTTGTGTGTTTACTAAGTACAGCTTAGGGATAAAAAAAAAAATCTTTCGTCCATCATTCTTTGTCATAATGTATGATCTCTGTTTGTATTTTGCCTTCTACTTAGACCTCAATGTGCCTTTGTCTAGAAGTGTCAAGGCCTTGCAGTAGCAACGTGCTAGCCATGTAATTACATTTTTGTGTGGTTAATTAATAATATGACAATGTAATACATTGCAGTTCACCAAACCACAGTATGTTTGTTTTCTTATTTTGTCTTTGTTATTTCAAAATCTTTGTAGTTTGTAGAGAGTGATGTTTAGAGAGCTTTAGGACTGCGAATGTTCAGGAAATCAATAGCTCAGGGGCAAAACACACTTCCACGATGTGGCAGATTTCTCACTGTGACCTCACTGCTGTTGTAAAGAGAAAAGAGTTCTAAATGTTTGCAGACCTTAGTTATTAAAACAGCAATGCACTAATTTACTTAAAGCCAGCAACAGTTAAATACTGCACCTACTTGCTGTTAGTTTTTGCACTAGAGTACAAGGCTTCATTAAATTCCCAACGTCTGTCAGATGTGGAAGCAAAACCTTTGAAAATACTGGGATGGGCTTAATGATGGTGTAGGATGTGACGGTGATGTGGAATGCAAAAGGCTGCACATGGTCCCTGGTTTTGACCTTTGGATGGAGTTGGCTGTCTGTTTCTGTATCTGTGACTAAAAATAGTTTGTGTAGGCATCTCAGACCTATTCCCTTCTGCTCCTTAAAGGAATGCTTCAGGAGCTTAATTGTTTTCCCATCTCTACTAGTTTTGTTTCTCCCTATTTTTTTTTCCCTGCCTGAAATCTTTAATTAGTATTGTTTAATGAATTGTCTTGCTACTCATGCAGCAAATATAATGTAAGTTAAATTTTTGCCTGTAAAGATTGGTACATGGAAATATATGGAAATACAAGAACACAGAAGATAATTAAATATGTGCGTAGGTGCCACCGTGAACATAACAAAACACTGAACAGTAATTTCACTTTTTAAAAAATTTTTCTGTAGCAGAATATTATTGGATGTTTTGGACTTGGGTGAGACTGTTAGTTTTCCTGGCCTGAAGGTCAGCATGTATGCTCAAGGGAAAGATGTGTGGAGTTACGGACAATCCGAGAGAAGGAGCTGCTGTGAAAGGATAAATTTGGCAAAGCATGATGTTTGTTATGTGCAGTGCACAAGATTAACAGCAGCTTGGGAAGACTTTTACCAGGATAATTCGTTGTGATGAGCAGGCTGCTCTCCACATAACCAACTCCAGTGGTTCACTTTAGAAGCAGTGTTGTGCTTTTGGCAGTTGAGGAAACAGCATGCTTCATCAGAGGAGGACTTCATCTTCTTCCTGTTTTCTTTTTAATCAAGAACAAAACATCTTTATAGCTTTTAGGTAATTATGGCTCCTTACACCTTTTGGATACCAGGAAAAGTTGGTGCATGGTTTTAACTTGAAATATGTCTAGAGTAGTAGCTTTATAAATGGACCTTTAAAAGATGTAGAGAAAGCACTCTTGCATAAAATCATAATCAGTGAAATTCAGAATTAAATACCAATGGTTGTTTCATACTTGGTAATAAAATAGCCAGTACTTCTGTGACAGCCTTGGAAGTGAACTTCTACTCCAAACTTGGAGCATGTGCTGCACACTGTGGCACCTCTCTACAAAAGAATGGTGTGGTAATGTTTGCAGGAGAGTTACTTTTCTGCAAAATCTTTTATAAAAGCTTTGCACTGATGTGAATTCACTTTATTTTTGCTTCTTACAAGGGATGAATGTGCTTTAGTTCCTGAGTAAGAACCATTTAGTAATTAGAAAAGATGAGGTGTACTCAGTGATGATCTTCTCGTTTGCCAGCACTTCTGGATGTACCTAAGTAAAACATCCTTCTCATTGATAGAAAAAGCAACTGCTTCTTTGTTCTGTCACTTTTTTTGTTTACCATGCTGCACTGTGTCGTGTTCTCTTATGAATGAACTTCAGAAGGCAAGAGTGCACTCTGCACAGACATGTGTACTTTGGTATGCAGACTGTTTTCTGACACGGCTCTTCATTTGTCTGTTAGCTTGTTTTGATTATACAGTGATGTGGGGCACGACTTTTTTTTTTTTCCCCTGTACAGACAACTGTGAAAGTGATACCAACTCATTTACTTGTGCTAGCATGAACGTCTGCTGTTACTTTTCTTCCTTTAGTAAAGCTCAGAGGAAGATCACTTACCTTCCTCTGGGTTGGCTATGTAAACTAATATGTTGTTTGAAATAAGCAGAAAACATTCCTTCACCTCAAATTAAATGTGCAAGATAACAGGAAATATGAGGTTTGACTGAAGGAGTCTGTGTTCCAAGTACTGACAACTTCAGAAGCACTCAAGCACTCATACTGAAAAGAAATAAGAGTCAGAAGAATTAGTTTTTCCAAAGCAAATGTTTCACTGGTATTCCTCAAGAGCTTAAATAGATATCAGATAGTACTATATTTAGCAAATTTGCTTGGAGTCTCGTGCTCAAATGAATTTTCCAGTGTGAGCTGCACTCCTGGAAATGACTGTGCATGCTTGTCAGTGGTTATCTCTGTTCCCACCTAACACCCCTTGTCTTTTGCCAGGAACCCTCTTTGCTAAACTTTGATTTCATGGCCTCAGTCTGTGTTCTTGTAAAATAAAAGATGAATATAGTATTAACTTTGAAGTATTCTTTAAATTATATGGCTGAACAACTTGAATGGAACTTGGATGCTTTTGGATATTTTGAAATGTAGCCAAGAAGGTGCAAAAGAATATTGCTGTCAGAATTTTTTCTGCAATGAACTCATAGCCTAGAAGAGCACCTACATGTGTTTTTAATTTGTGAATATTAACTTAATCATAAGCTGAGTAGGCATTCCAGTGTTGTTTTTTGTAGGGTTAGAGACATAGCCAAGCACTATGAAAAATCTCTTAATAGCTGCCTGTAAATAGCAATAATTCAAATACTGTGTTCATATTTTAACGATGGTGAGTAAATACTCAGATGAAGTTGGCTGTATTTCCTTAGAATTTTAACAGCCTTTTGTAGATGGATTAGTGTGTGAGTTAGCGTGATCTAATGCATGCCATCCCCTTAGCTTTCTGGTTCCCTGTACTTATGTCATAAGCCCTTCTTTACCTTAACCTTCTTTACCTTAATTTTGAATTGTGTGAGGTTTTTTTTTTACGTTATTTGTATTTTTTTACTGTGCTTGCATTTGAAACAGCGATGCCCTGAAGAGTGATAATTTCAGATGTCTCCAGCAGTGTAGTATTGTTTTAAAAAACAGCATCGTCAGAATTAACACAGATTTTTGCCTTCTGAGTCTTGAGTTTTGTTGCAGATAAGCATGCAATCACCGTTTATAGTCTGTTTGCAACAAACCCCAAGCAACCATCAGATCACAGACTTGGCTGCCTTATCGGTTGGACTGATAATACAGAGCCTCTGTTTTTGTTTTGTAGCTGATGCTTTTTTCAAAGCTGCAGTGAGCCTTGTTCCTGAAGTGCCAAAAATGATCAGTGTAGATGGAAAGATGCGACCTTCTGATGCCTTCCTCTTGGAATTCCTCTGTAACTTCTTTTCCACGTTATTGGTTGTTCCAGTAAGTTGCTTTTTGTGTGTGTGTGTGTGTAGTGTATGTTTGGTTTAATGTGAACTTTCATTGTGTTCTTGTATATATTCATTTTTCTATCTGCTGATTCTAGTTCTTTCCTCTTTTGTTCTCCTTTTTCCTGACCAAGTGCATGGTGAATCAGCATAGTGACACTGGTTCAGTCCTTGTATATAGAACAGCATATTCTCCTTTTTCCAATGGCAAGGGGGGTCCTCCTCAACCGTGCATTTCATGGAGGTGCTAACCTATTAGAGGGGAAAGGCTCATTGCCACTGTGGTTGTACTCCACTGATTACAGAAGATGCTGAGGAAAGCTGTGTCAGAACCATATGCTCCTCAGAAAAATGGCTCAGGTGATTAGAGGAGGAAAATCCAACCTCTCAGATCCAGTAAGGAAGAACTTGCAATGACATTATAGGATTCAGTAACTAGCTTCCATCATTTCTTTTTCTATTTGCTTTAAAGTGCAGACAATTAGAAGGAAGGGTTCCAAGATGTCTGAAACTTGTCATACAAATGTTGGTGTCATTGCACCAGCTGCAAAGTGAAATAAGCTGGGTGCAGTATTAAAAATGCTTGCAAAAAAATCATGGCTTATGTAGAACACGTCTTTGTAATTTCCTATTAAAAATTTCTTGATTGTGACTTTGACTTCCCAGTGTAAATGTTCTTATAAAACTCATAATTATATGAGTAATTTGTTTCTTATTGACATTATTTAAATTAAAAAAATTGTACCCGGTAGGTGATTTTAGGGCCCTGGGTGTTAAGAAGCTGACAATTCTGCATCACTCCCCCATGAGTATAAAACAAAGCCTTTCAGAGTGTATCTGTGTGGAGGCTGCCTAGATAATGTTTATTATTACAGGAAAATGAGCATTTTAGAATGAAACTAGAACACAATCACAGAATAACTCAAGTTGGAAGAGACCCATAAGGATCGTTGAGTCCAGCTCCTCGCAATTGGACTATGAGTTCCCAAAATGAGGAAGAGATTTTTAAAAGGATTTTCTGAAAGCACACTCGGGAGGAGTTGCCAGTTTTGTTTGTATTGTGGTTTTTCCTTACATAGAGTTAACACTGTGACTTTAAACCACCAAATGACTCATAATAATCTTCATTCTGTTTTGGGATTGGTTGGGGGTTTGGTTTGGGGGTTTGGGCATTTTTTTGGCTGATTATTTTCTTTTCTATAGGACCATCCAGAACAAGGAGTGTTGTTTCTTGTGCGAGGATTACTAAATGTGATCCAGGATTATACCTGGGAGGATAACAGCGATGACAAAATCAGGATTTACACTAATGTTTTACATCTGTTGTCTGCAATGACTCAAGAAACATATATCTACCATGTAGATAAAGGTAATATGTTTGTCTGTTCCATCGTGAAATTTGCAGTATTGCTATACCTAGTTAATGAAGATCAGTGTTACCCAATTTTCCTATCCAGGTCCACATATTGTGGATTAAAATGATCACAGGAGGTGACCGCCCAGCAGATATCTAGTCAATAGACATGAGTCTGATATTAGAATTTTACATTTATGGGTTTTTTTGTGTCTGAAGTATCAACCTGATTTATACTTATCACTGATGTTTCATTCACACTCATTAACACCAATTCTAAGAATATAAAGCCTGGTTTTCATTATTTAAATAATACATTTGCTGCTTTGAAGGCAAGTTTCCAGCTTTGGCAATTGTGATAGCTTATAAAAAATTTTTCAGAATAGCTGATATCTTTTTTTATTAAGTGTCTGTAGTCTTTCTGTAGTAGCATGATATTTTGATGGCTCTAGTGTTGAAGGTTTTCATAGAGAAGTCCCCAAATTGAGATATGGTGACAATCAATTCTTTCAAAGAATACAAGCAAGATTAGTCACTGAAAGACCACAATAGTTCAGAATTCTTTTAGTTGCACAGGGCTTTCAGGCAGAGGCAGGCTGGGATCCATTCTGCAGCAGTCTGTCAGAGTTACCAACCCGACAAGAATCTCTCTTGTAGTCAGCAGTATAGAAACGGGTCTCAGTTGAATAACTGCTCTGCAGTAAACTTCCTGTTCAGATTTCTCATGGAACTGTGGTTTACCTGCTTTTGCTTTCATTATATTTTTATATGTCCAAAATAACTGTGTAAACCCAATATAAGATATTTAATTATATTTCAACAGAGAGAGACTTGGAGTATGAATTAGTGATTTCTCCATGCAGTTGGATAATGGTTCTTTTCTAGGCAGGTACATCTTAATTTCTTAAAATGAAGTTTACATGAGAACAAAGGATAAACTTTTGCTTATGTGATCTCTGCTTATGCAGAGTATAGTTAAGTTTACAAATTTCTTATAACCTTTGTCTTTGAGCAGTATAAATAAATGAGGCCAAAATTAAAAGTATCAGTTGTTTAAGGTCTGGAAACTTCAAAAGAAACAACAAAGTCTCAGAAATTAAAAATGTGCTTTCTGGATTTCTTTCCAGCAAATAAGATTTTACTTTGGAAAAAAACATAATTTATTTTTAAAATGCATTTTTCCATTGAAAATCTTTGCACCAAGTGAAATACAAACTTTGGCCAAGTCCCGCTGCCATTGAAAATGATGACCAAGCTTTTCTAACAAGGAAAATGTGAACACTGATACTATTTTCTTCCCTAGTGTTTGAATCTAGCAGGTATTTTTGGACCTGGCTGCATCCAGGAATATGGGAGTGGTTTTAGTCTAGGAGATTCTTTTCAAGAGTTGGATTCTTAGAATGAAGAGGATGTAGTAGGCAACCAATTTAACAAGATTATTTCATTTGCTTAATGAAGGAAAGTCATTTTATAACTTCTAGATCTGGTCTTCTATAAATTGCTGTGTTTTTCAGTAGCAAACAAACTAATAACTCTTGAAATAGGCCTAATCTTCACTTCATCTCTGCAGTGGATTCCAATGATACCCTGTATGGTGGAGACTCCAAGTTCCTCGCTGAAATCAGTAAACTGTGTGAAACAGTAATAGCACAGATTCTGGATCATCTCAAAACCCTTGGAAAGGAAGAGGTATGTCCATACTTTATCTGGATTTAATGCAAATGCAAAATTACTTTGGAATTGAGTAAATGGACTGCCTTCTTGGACAGATTTGATCTTCTAGGAAGTTCTGTGAGCTTTACAATGAGAGGGAATCAGTTTTCTTGTTTTACTTAGTTTTATTCTTTAAATAAGTTAATTGATCATGTATGCAGACTTGTGGTAGAAAGACCTAATGAAGGTTAAGAGTTTTGAATTATCTAATCTGAATGTTGATGTAGTCTGGGTTATGGAAACATGACACTCCACGTGGTGTAACGTATATTTTTACCTTTATAAAGAAAAGGTCTTTGTAATGAGCTGAGCTTCATGATGCAATCATTGTCCTTAGCATGCTGGAGATTGTGCCACGCTCACTCCTTTGTGGTAAAAAATCTGCTCCTTGTCCATCTTTCTTGTATCCTCCTGGCTGTCACCTTTCTCTCTCTGTAAATAAACCATATTTTCTTGCCAGCTAAGTTACAGTTTCCTGAAATGTCCCATTCTGTGATAAGCAAAATGGGAGTTCATACTTAATAGTAAGTGCAGTGGAAATCTCCTTAAATTTGTACAAGTTTTGGATCCCAGACCACAGAAAGAGAGGTGCAGGGAGAGGGGAAACATGTTTTGTCTCTAACCTCTAAATATTTGTTTTATTTGTTCAATATAAGGTAAAGAAAACTCTTTGCATTTCATTGGATTTCTTGATTGGACTTGTAACGTCTGGGAGATGAAACACAGCATAACAGTTTGTGTGTGGAGGGCAGGTGACCCATGTTTTTCAGGATTGGTGAAATCACTATTCTGGTAACTGAACTCTTTCTGAGGTTGAGCCCCTCAGCAGCTTCCACGTTCCTCCTCCTGAGCTTTTGAATATTGATTGCAGTCTTGTGGGCTTGTAGACTGAGCTGGGAAGGCAGGAGATAATCATCTGATGGAACTTTTAAAATACCATGTTTCCAAGTAGCTTGTGGTGTTTACAGAATATGTAATGCACGACGTGCCAGTTTGGAGACCTCTGCTACAAGAATAGCCTTTTCACTGCTTTTGCTATATTGTTTACCCTTGTTAAGCAACCATAGAGATGTAAGATGAATAAATCCTTTGGAAATGTTTTTACGTCATTGTATTCATGACCACTGTGAATGGCAATTCTTTTTTAGAGCTGCTACAGGAAAGAAAAAGACACTTTGCTTAGTGGTGTCTAAGCAGACTTTGGCAGATTTTAATAGTTTTCTGGGCAGTGGGTCGTGTATGAGGATTTTCCTATGTCGGAATCCAGTATGGAGTATGTGGGTGAGGATGTTTGTATGGCTTGGTATGTAGTTTCTGAAAGGCTTTTTTCATCTTTCAAGCTTAATTTGAGAGGTTATTATTTCTCTGATGTATCTGTTGTGTAGAAAACTGGATTTAAAGCTAAGCAGCATGGCTGTAATTCCTGCCCTGCCTTTGTCACTGTGGTCTTGGATTTATTCCTGTGTCCATCCTTACTTACAGAGCATCTAATTTGCTTTGTCATATAAAAGTCCTTGAGAGATTTTGACAAAAAAACATTGTGTTTTTCAGAGGAAGCTGTTGTTGCTGAGGAAATAAAGGTGACAGTATTGTCAGAGACCTCTGTTGGTACTGACATAGGACCTAGAATGAGATCTCTGTGGCGTTTTCATTGCCTTGGTGTCAGTGACCTTTTATTATTCATCGGTTTGGCCGCACATTTAAACAAACAGACCTCTGATACTAAGTTTTAATTGGTTCATTCCCTTTAAAAGCTACATAGGAAAATAGTAGTTTCTCACAATAAAAGGCTTTCACCAAAATGGTGGTTTGGAAGGGAGCAACGCTGCTTCTGTTAACTCAGCATGGTCCTTCTGCATTATTAAAGAATCCTTCATCTGTGTTACAGTGCTGAAGTACAGTTCTCACTTCGGGACAGTTCAGTGAAGTTTGAGCTGCTTCTGGTCATAAGAGCACGTGTCAGTGAGTCCTCTGTCGGTGTCATGTGGGTGGAGGATTAATTTTGAGCTCCGGGTTTCTTAAAAATGGAGATAATCTGGCTGCTCAGTGTCCAGATGGGGCATGTTTCATTCAAACACTGCTTTTGAAGCAAAACATCATAAGCAGATGGTTTTTGCTGTGTCAGTGCTGTGTTAGGACATGCCGTGTGAGAGACACTGGAATTTTTATAGTAATGCATCAGGAGAAAGCAATTTCTGGGTACCCTCTCGAGGCTTCTTTCAGCACAGCCAATTTGTTCATCTATAATATGAACCTTGTTAACACTTCAGTACAGAACAAACAACAAGTAGAGCTGAGCAGGGTGTCTGTGTGCGTGGATGTGTTTTAGATTGAAAAGTTCTTGGTGTTCCTGAAGGATTCTGTGTCCTTGGCCAAGATTTTCTAAGAGTGGTTAAACATTTCAGTCCTCTTTTTGGAAGAAGGAGACAAGGGAGTTTACCCACTGTCCAGAGGATGTTGTGGTGGTGGAGGTGCTGTTTTGACAAGTTTGCAGCTTTGTTGTTGATGACTTAACAGGAATGATGGATGAACCTGGAGCACATCAGTTCCACTTGCTGGTCTTGGTGCTGGAGAGCCTGCACTTCCAAGTCAACACTTTTATTACAGCATTGTGTCTGGCTTGCTGGTGGAGTTTAAAGGTTAGAAATAGTTTGATTGGAAACATTGCCTCTGCATGCCTGTAGAAACCATCAGGATTGCTGAGCGTAGCTTTGGTAAGAATGGCCCAGCTTTCTGTGAGCACAGGCTCCACGTGGAGCACATCTTTGCTGGATTAACTTAATGAATTTGAAACAGAGATGAACATGCCCTAGTGACTGTATGGAGCTGAGAGGAGAATGTTGAAACGTTCTGCCCTGACTCAAAGGTGCTCACTGCTCCCTGAGCAGCTGCCACCTGTGCTCTGTGTGCATCCTCCACTGGTTGCTCAGGGACTTTTTCTGAAAGACTGCGTCCAAAACCAAATGCTTTCCAGCGTGCTGGAAAAGTGATGAAACAGGGTGTCTGTCCTCTTGTGTCCTGTGAGAGCTCCTAGCTGCAGCTTGGGTGCTGCTGCTCTCTTTTCCTGAATAGCTCCTCCATTTTGTCATCACAAGATGCTGCTTGTGCTAGGTGCTTCACTTATTTCACTTTAGGATAGCAGTCTAATGAGGGAGCTGAGAACCTGGCTTGCCAGGCACAGCTCCTGATCTTTCCCTGTAAACTACATATGTTAAAAGCTCACAAAGGGTTCTCTTGAGACCTTTTAAAGGAGAAGAGAGGTGCCTGGCATGGCTCTGTGCAGGCACATCTGAATTTGGATAATAGGGCTGCAACCTACAGCATCACAGAGATGCTGGAATTAATTTCTGGCTTGCTCATGCAGGTAATGCAAAGAAGTGCCCTGTCAGCACAGAGACATGGCTGGGCTGACACATACAGTGCCCTGAGGCAGCGCTGTGGCCATGCTGAGCACTGTGGGTGCCTGGGCTTTGTGTGGGACGGAGCTGTGCTGGGCAGCCTGCACAGGTGGCAGTGGGCCGAAGTGAGCCACAACTTTTCTCAGAAAGCTGGAGGTATCCTTATGCCATAGGTGTCTGGAGAAAGTCTTTAAGGCGGGAGTGAGTGAGTGAACCACTAGCCACAAGGTCACGAAAACAATTACGTGGTCTGTTTTGAGAAATGTTGCATTTTCTGCTGCTAAGCTGCATGAAACTTGGACATTGCTCTGCACTTTGGGGAGCCTGAGGTCACATCATTGAGTGATGATTTGTTGTGTTTTCTTTTTTCATTTTGTGGTGATCAGCATTATTCCACAGGTTATGGAAAATGCAGCTCCTGAAGGCGGTTCTTGGTGTGGGGATTGTCAGTCCTGTGGCTCTGCAGCTGCCAAGCAGCTGATGGCTCCTCTGTGTGTGCAGCCTCTGCACGCGCATTGCAGGTCAGCATGCAGCACAGCCACAGCTGCCAGCAGGTTGGCAGCATGCTGCCATGCATCACTCCCCTGGGCGGCAGAGCGGTGCCATGTTGCACAAACACGCCTGCTGTCACCAGGACCCTTGTCTGACCCTGCTGGTTAGTTTTTAGACATGGATTTACTGCACACTTGTGCCTGCCCCTCTCTCCCTGTTGCACTGTGTAACTGGGAACTGGGTGCCAAAATGCTGTCTGAGATGACTGTGCCTATCCCAGCATGATGGGAGTTAGCATGTCTCCTACTTCCAGCTTTTTACTGTTTCAAGGTCATTTTTTTTAAGTACTTATGTTTCCAGTTAGTCAAAATGTCATCCCTGCTTTAAAGAATGGATTGTCTGCTGGCATTCTTACTGCCTGGAAAGCCTTGCTACTTATATCCAGTTCTGAGTGCTGCTGCATCTGTTTTCTGCCCAACAATTTCTGGGCTGCTGCTTATGAGAGTGCCTCCAGAGACCTCCTCGAAGGTGGGAGGTGTTCAGTGGAAGATGCACAAGCATTAGATAGTCAGTGGGGAAAACAAACATGTAGTTGAACACCCTGTTTTGCCAGTACAGCATAGATGGTGATGTGACAGGAGGGAGGCTGTATGTAACACTGACTAACAGGCAGTATCTTTTTCCCTGAAGGATGGTAATCCTGCAAGAGAAATACTATAGTAACATTTAAGCATTGACAACTACTTTTCTGTTCACTGGCATTTCTGTTCTTTGTGTTAATGTTCCTGGGCTAGATTGATTGTGTTCCTCTGCCTGGTAGGGAGTATGGTTCAACACTTTCAAATAATGGCTGCAGTTTCAGCTAATAAACCAATTTTGGAGCTGCTGGGATGAAAGGTTCTGAAGTAGGTAACTGTTAGAGGAAGAAAGAGCTGTCTTCCTGATAGCTCCATGTAATCAGTTTAGTGTTTACAGAACATTTCCTGGGCCCTGTAGCATCTCTGGGCATTCCATGTGTGAGCAATGCATCAGATTTTCTCTGCATTTACTGCTGCGTGGCTGATACACAGTAGTAACCAGTCCTACATTTCTCATTTGGAGCATGCTGTGTCCTCTTTTCTAGCCTGCCAATTCTTTAATGGCATGGCTTTCTGCTTTTACAGAAATATCTGGGGGACTGATGGCAGTGTGTTCTGTTTCCTTGTTTAATAGCATCTGACCTCGCTTCTGCTGGCAGTGAGAAGTAAAATTAATTTACTTTTAGTCGCTTAGGGAAAGGGCAGAGGCTGTGTGGCTGCAGTGGTGGTGTCAGGAGAGCACAACTTGCACTGATCACTCCACTTATCCCGATTTTTGCCTCATTCCCTCTGTAGGTTTGCATCTGAATGCAGTATGTTAGCTACCCCTAACATATATTGAACTGAGAGGGCTAAAGTGAGTATCCAGTTCAGTAAGCAAGATGCTGAGTTGATAGTGCTAGTTACTGCCTTGCTGTTATGCATAAGATGCAGCTTTGGTTTTGTCAGTGGTCTTTCTTCAGCCAAAACCAAAGGACAGCAGCAGCAAAGCAGTATAAAGAGGTGCTATGTGTAAGATGCATCCAACAACGATCTGTCTGCAGTGCAGAAGTGTCAGTGCTGGAGAGCTCCCCTGCAGAGTGTGGAAGGCAGTGGTGTTCCTCGTGGTAGGTTACAGCAAAGCAGTGGTTCTCCTCGAGCTCCCTCTTAAAAATTTTAAGAAAATTAACTACAAACATGGTACAAGTGTGTTTCACTAGAAGAAAAGCAGGTAAAAAAAAAATGGAAGTCACACTCACTGTAAAGTTCATCCACATATTTGTGTGAAACTTCCTGTGTTCCAGTTTTTGGCCATTGCTCCTTACTCTATCACTACACACTGCTGCTCCTTACTCTACCATAATGCACCACTGGAAAGACCCTGGCCTTGCCTAATTGCCTCCTACACCCTAGATATTTATAAACATTGATCAGATCCCCTCTCAGTCTTCTCTCTAGGCTAAACAGGATCAGGTCTCTCAGCCTTTCCCTCTGCGGGAGATGCTCCAGGCCCCTTTATCATCTTTGTTGCCCTCCTCTGGACTCTTTCTAGAAGATCTGCCTTTTTGAACAGGGAGCTCAGAACTGGACACGGTGCTCCATGTGTGGGTTGATTCATAATTATCATTTTTTGTTTTATTTGGAATGGGATGTGGAAACTGTGCCCATGTTCCTGCATCTGTAGTTATTGCTGTATATTTCAAAACAATTATCTGTATGATAACACAGAAATTCTTTTCTCATTATAGACTCTGAAGCGACAAAGCCAGTTGGCACTCTATTTCTTCAACACTATTTTAGCTCATGGTGATCTACGAAACAACAAACTGAATCAGCTTTCAGTAAATCTCTGGAATCTTGCTCAGAAACATGGCTTTGCTGACACCAAGACAATGGTAAGGAGTACACACTGCAGAGAAATCTGTTTTGATGTTCTTTAGCTCCTTTTTTGGGAAAAGGCAATACTATGTAGATTGATCTGAAAGTAACACCTCCTATTTTATTTCCATGGAAACAACAACAGATAGAAAAAGCACAATAATGCTGTTTGATAGAGCCAATTCCCAGCCACAAAAAACTATTTTTTTTTTTTAAATAGTCACCACTGTTAGCAATACATTTTCATCACTGATGAAATCTGCACCAGCAGAGGTGACCCAGTGTTTCACTGCTGTTATGACAGTGTTGTTGCTAGGAAAATATTGCCCACACAGTCCACCTTTCAGCTGCCTGAACAGATGGAAGTTGGAAGGTCCTGAATACAGACTATATGGTGGGATCTAATTGGAGAGTTCTGCCAAGGTTAGCAATGTGCTGCACGGTCTTCAAACCAGTGTGGAACGTGGCATTACCCTGTGGCAAGAGAAGGGCTGTCTTCTCAGAATCACAGAATTGCCAGGGTTGGAAGGGACCTCAAGGATCATGAATCTCCAACCTCCCTGCCACATG